CCAGGCCATTCGGATGGCTCAAATAGCGCGCCTGAACAAACTTTGAAAAAGTTTCTTTCGAAACCACATCGTCTAATGGATTGGCAACCAAACTACTCGATCTGTTTCAATTATTAAAAACTTTCAGAAAATTGTAGGAAACACGTGTCGTTGTCGTTGGAACCTAAAAATACTTGGTAATTGATGTTTATGTCGATTTTTTACGATTATTTATTAAAAGATAATGTCGATTTTTATATACGAAGGCTGAACTTTTCTGGTTATAGTTTTTTTCCATTTTTAAAAGCATCAATCGCTTCTTTGGTCGTTGTGAAATATAAATCCTGTAATTTATCTTTTACCTACGAAAATAAGAAGATATTAGGAGTTATATCTAAACTATACGGTGAAAGACTCATTATTTTTGGTTTGGGCGTTTCTCTAATCTCTTAATTCATCTTTATTAATCTCTCTATTAAAATACATCTCAATTAAACTCTAAATTAAAATCTATTAAACTATTTATTTAACTCTATTAAATTCTCTATTAAACTCTCTATTAAACTTTTTATTAAACTCTATTAAACTCCCTAATAAACTCTATTAAACTCTTTATTAGGCTTTCTATTAAACTCTATTAAAATCTTTATTAAACCTTCTAATAAACTATCTATTAATCTATTAAATCTAAGAAACTTTTTATTAAATCTAAGAAACTTTTTAATAAACTCTATTAAACTTTTTATTGAACTGTCTATTAAACTCACTATTAAACTCTCTAACTTTATTAAACTTTCTTTTAAACTATTAAACTATCAAATTATCTAATAAACTCTATTGAATTCTATTAAACTCTATTAAACTCTATTAAACTCTATTAAACTCTATTAAACTCTATTAAACTCTATTAAACTCTATTAAACTCTATTAAACTCTATTAAACTCTATTAAACTCTATTAAACTCTATTAAACTCTATTAAACTCTATTAAACTCTATTAAACTCTATTAAACTATATTAAACTCTATTAAAATCTATTAAACTCTATTAAACTCTATTATACTCTATTAAACTCTATTATACTATTAAACTCTATTAAACTATCTATTAAACTCTCTATTAAACTCTCTATTCAACTGTCTATTAAACTCTCTATTAAACTCTCTATTAAACTATATTAAACTATATTAAACTATATTAAACTATATTAAACTATATTAAACTATATTAAACTATATTAAACTATATTAAACTATATTAAACTATATTAAACTATATTAAACTATATTAAACTATATTAAACTATATTAAACTATATTAAACTATATTAAACTATATTAAACTATATTAAACTATATTAAACTATATTAAACTATATTAAACTATATTAAACTATATTAAACTATATTAAACTATATTAAACTATATTAAACTATATTAAACTATATTAAACTATATTAAACTATATTAAACTATATTAAACTATATTAAACTATATTAAACTATATTAAACTATATTAAACTATATTAAACTATATTAAACTATATTAAACTATATTAAACTATATTAAACTATATTAAACTATATTAAACTATATTAAACTATATTAAACTATATTAAACTATATTAAACTATATTAAACTATATTAAACTATATTAAACTATATTAAACTATATTAAACTATATTAAACTATATTAAACTATATTAAACTATATTAAACTATATTAAACTATATTAAACTATATTAAACTATATTAAACTATATTAAACTATATTAAACTATATTAAACTATATTAAACTATATTAAACTATATTAAACTATATTAAACTATATTAAACTATATTAAACTATATTAAACTATATTAAACTATATTAAACTATATTAAACTATATTAAACTATATTAAACTATATTAAACTATATTAAACTATATTAAACTATATTAAACTATATTAAACTATATTAAACTTTATTAAACTTTATTAAACTATATTAAACTATATTAAACTATATTAAACTATATTAAACTATATTAAACTATATTAAACTAAACTATATTAAACTATATTAAACTAAACTATATTAAACTTCATTAAACTATTTATTGAACTCTCTAATAAACTATTTATTAAACCTTCTATTAGATTCTATTAAACCTCTATTAAGCTATCTATTTAACACTATTAAACTCTCTATTAAACTTTTTAGTAAACTATTAACTTTTTATTGAACTGTGTATTAAACTTTCTATTAAACTTTCTATTAAACTTTATTAAACTCTCTAATAAACTCTATTAAACTCTCTCTCCCTATAAAACTTTTGTTTCTCTTTTAAATTATTTCTCTGTTTTTAATAAATTTATCTCTAATTCTCTATATTAAACTCTTTATTAATTTTTTATTAATATTTCTATTAATATATATTTCTATTATTATTTATTTCTTTTAATATATTTTTATTAATGTCCTTATTAATATATCCATTAATTTCTCTATTAATATTTCTATTAATATATATTTCTATTATTATTTATTTCATTTAATATATTTTTATTAATATCCTTATTAATTATATCCATTAATTTCTTTATTAATAACTATTATATCTCTATTAATAAATCTCTTATATCTATTAATATTGATATATTTGATTCAAAATTAAAATAATTATAAATTTTTGGTTTTCAAAATTTGTTAATTTTATAATCAACCTTTGATTGGTAAGATCGGTCCTAAAAAATTGGAAATAATTTTTAAAAATCAGGATATCAATATGGGGAGAATTGTTGTAATTAATAAACCTACGGATCCTAAGATTAAGATTTGTTAGTCAGGTTTACGGGGTAAGTTAAATCTTTTTTATTGTAAGAGTGATTTTCATATCAATATATCCATTAATATATCTTTTTTTATTAATATCTCAATTAATATATTTATTAGTATGTTATTTTTTATTAATAAACTATTAATATTCTATCTTTTTATTTTTTAATATCTATTAATATATATAATTATCTCAATATTAACCTCTTTATTAATTTCTTTTTTTTTTTAATATATATTTTCCTTTTTTAATAATGTCTCTATTACTATATCTATTATTATCTCTTTCAATAATTATTTAATCTCAATTAATATGTCTATGAATATATGTATATCTATTATTAGGTTAGATTATACAATAAACTCTCGGAGTTCATAAAAAATTGTTAAACAAAAATGACAATAAGAATGAATGAAAAATATATTTCTCATCTATAAAATTGTTATGATAAAGATATCTTATAGTTTATTAAAACAAAAATAAAACCTGAATCGATAACCAATCACTGAAAATGTTGCTAGAGTTGGTGACGTTTTTATAGAAATTTTTAATGTTACTATTTTATACTATTAAAGCTACACTTAATTTATTTTAGCGTTTTATTGAAATGTAACTAACTATACGTAGCTAGCCATTTTTAATGGGAGGGGTATTTGAGAACTATAGGGGGTTTCATCAAGAAACTGAATAAAATCAAACAGTAAATAGCAATCAGTGCCAATATTATAATGGAAATGGTGATGCGAGGACCCTTCATAGAGTGGTTCCGACCCCCAAAACCTCATCCGTGGCTACGCCACTGTAAATATATTATCTGAATGAAATTAATGCCACTTTGTTTTCGATGCAGTTTTCTTTAAATTTTTTCTTGACAAAATATTTACAAAATAATCCTTCGGATTCTGATAAAAAAAAACTATTTGATACGCCCATGGAAACCAAAACTGTCAAAAGTTGGTAGATACTGGCTTCAAACAAAGCCTATGTTAAACGGCGGCCGTTAGTTATCTATATTTCATTGGTCTAGGTTTAAAGTTTTCGGTGGTTCATCCTGTATTCGGAAATAACCAATTTCATGGACAATTTGTCAATTATCGTAATTCCTCAGCAATTTGAATATCCATTTGGCAAAATATAAGTAGATACTTGAATGCCAAATAAATGGAAAGCGATCCAGTTCCATTTTCATTCGGGGCATTGTCCTTTTTTCAATACGTATCCCAAAGAAATTTCGCGGAAATCACGAAATAAACGATTGAGCCGGAAAATGATATCGATTTCTTTTCTAATCAGGATATGTAACGTTTTGAGCGTAGAGAAATTGCAAGTTAGGGTCAATTATTATACTTAAGAATTATGAAAAAATTAAAATAGAAGCTTTTAAAAACGGAGACATCGACAATACGTAAAAAATCCAAGAATAGGAAATTAACTATTCTGAGCTAATTTTATTTATTTGGATTTCCGTTGTAGATAATTTAAGGTTTCCGTGGGCAAATATCAGCCCTCAAAGCCGGCACTGCTTACGTGTAAGAGAGTTGAAGATATATGAGTTTCTCCAATTCACTGGTTCTATTGACAAAGCATACAACAAATTTATTTCATTGAAATACATCTTATTCAGCTGTCCTCCTCTATCGAATTGGATCCTTTTCTCTTTTTAATTTAATAACAGTAATATGTACATCGAAATAAAAAAGATTACTTTAATAAATTTACTTTTGTCCTTATGAAATACCAGTAACAGAATTATACACATTTTAATTTTTTTAATATAGATTGTCTCTCATTAAAATAAATTTCTTTATAGTATGAGAGTCCACTGCAAATTTAGACCGTCATCTGATAACGAAATGAAATATGCTCTAAAGGCATATGTAACAACATTGTACTTTACCAAATTGCACCTGTGCCAATCCCTATCCTGAGCAAAGTGGTTAATAAAAATTATTTTCCAAACAATCATTAAGAGAATGGCCCATTTTGTCTTTGGCTGTGGCATCAAAAACGGGTCAAACCTTCGTCGTGGTACTGGAATCTTTAATAACAGCATGATGTGGAAGATAATAGCCATTATTGTTCCACTGTTCCTCTGGTACCTTTTTAATATTTATTACCAAGTCGAAGCCATTCTTTAAAAACTGTCTCGTAATCAGAAAATCTATTAACTATTAATTTTTTAGTAGTAGTGATTAATCTTTTTTGTGCTTGTTCCAAATTGCTATGTAACTCAGGATGACCATCAATCCATGGAAGACAAACCGTTTATCTTCTTGTTGAATAATCGTTTTCTTAAACCTTTCTAGTACACCCTCATGTCTTTTTTCCGTCGTTATATTCTCTGGAGTGTCTTTAATTCCTAAAAGCTCCAAATTCCAGAAATCTGCAATGGTAAATTCAGTGTTCAGGAAAGATAAATCTAAATTACAATTATCATAGTGATAAGATTTTCCCATAACTGTCCAACCGAAATGGGTCTCGATTGCAACCAAATTTTCAGCAATACTTTCGAAAACTCCTGTGACTTCCGCTCCTAAAAGAAGTTCTACTTCTAGTGATTCAAACTCGATGACATGAAGTACAATATTCTTCTTTTTTAAATCAACAATAATTTGTTCATTTCTTAAACATGGAATATTAGAACATTTTTGTCTGATCGAGGACTGAAATATTAAAATGGACTGACTTATCAAAACTATGTACAGAAATGTTGTAAATATGATGAACATGTAGAACTGAATGTTCACCCCCGAAAACACCCTGTATGATGGTTTTTTGACCAACCTTTTGAAACTGCATAATCTGTTAATAAAAAGCGTTGATGCTTTTGTTGAATATGTTGAAGATATACTTTAAATAAATATTAACAGTTAGTTAACAGTTAGTTAACAGTTAGTTAACAGTTAGTTAACAGTTAGTTAACAGTTAGTTAACAGTTAGTTAACAGTTAGTTAGTTAACAGTTAGTTAACAGTTAGTTAACAGTTAGTTAACAGTTAGTTAACAGTTAGTTAACAGTTAGTTAACAGTTAGTTAACAGTTAGTTAACAGTTAGTTAACAGTTAGTTAACAGTTAGTCAACAGTTAGTTAAAAATTAGTTAAAAGTTAGTTGTTAGTTAAGTTAACAGTTAGTTAACAGTTAGTTAACAGTTAGTTAACAGTTAGTTAACAGTTAGTTAAAAATTAGTTAAAAGTTAGTTGTTAGTTAACAGTTAATTTCCAGTTAATTAGCAGTTAATTTCCAGTTAATTAGCAATTATTTAACAGTTAATTAACAGTTAATTAACAGTTAATTAACAGTTAACTAACAGTTAATTAACAGTAAATTAACAGTTAATTAACAGGTAACTAACAGTTAGTTAACAGTTAATTAACAGCAGTACGCAGTTGAGGACTGAAATATTAAAATGGACTGACTTATCAAAACTATGTACAGAAATGTTGTAAATATGGTGAACATGTAGAACTGAATGTTCACCCCCGAAAATACACTATGATAGTTTTTTGACCAACCTTTTGAAACTGCATAATCTGTTAATAAAAAGCGTTGATGCTTTTGTTGAATATGTTGAAGATATACTTTAAATAAATATTAACAGTTAGTTAACAGTTAGTTAAAAATTATATAACAGTTAGTTAAAAATTAGTTAACAGTTAGTTGTTAGTTAACAGTTAGTTAACAGTTAGTTAACAGTTAGTTAACAGTTAGTTAACAGTTAGTTAACAGTTAGTTAACAGTTAATTATCAGTTAATTTCCAGTTAATTAGCAATTATTTAACAGTTAATTAACAGTTAATTAACAGCTAATTAACAGTTAGTTAACAGTTAGTTAACAGTTAGTTAACAGTTAGTTAACAGTTAGTTAACAGTTAGTTAACAGTTAGTTAACAGTTAATTAACAGCAGTACGCAGTTAACCACCCTTGTCGTACACCAATTTCCAAATGAAACACCTTCTATATGCAACATTGAAATCACTTTTCTTGCAAAACCCTCCCAATTTTTCTCCAAACTCGAATTAAACCAACATAATCATTTGTAACGCACATAATACGCTAATTTCACGGTTATTTTTCATGCCCTGTCGCCCAGTTCGAGATACGTGCGACTAGATGGTCCGGAGTTTTTATAACGAACGTTTTGTGATACGTTCTCGTTACAAATCTACAATCATTTAAATTCAGTCTATCTCGTCTGACCCTAATGGACATAGTCGATGGAAAAAATGACCGTGTCAGACTATAAATCTGTGACAAATCGTACAGATTTAGCGCTCTATAATGCTAGTAAAAACTCGGTATTCAGATCGGTAGAAACAAATAAAATTACATCGCCCGCGCGAGCTGTCAATGGCGTGTATAGAAATGGGAAATCTAAAATGTTACTATAAAAAAAAATATTTGCTCTTATTCTTGTCACACGGGGTAGGTCACAAACACTTTGTGATCGATCTAGAAAGTGTTGAAATTTAAAGCTTTTTTTTTTCGGTTTTTAGGCCACTTCTTCGATTTTTTCCCGTGTATATATATATATAAAAATTATTTTTAATTATATTTTATTCTAGTAAGAAGATTTTAGTTACTAGAGTTATAGAAAATCACAGATATCAAGAGAGTAGATTTCAATTATTAGAGGGATCAAAAAACATATAGATTCCAAGATGTTAATATATTAATTAATATAGAGAGAGAGAGAGAGAGAGAGAGAGAGAGAGAGAGAGAGATGCTTTATTGTCGTAAAAAAATTTACAAAAATTTTATAGACAAAGCGTGTAACTTAAATATTAAACATATTATAAAAATAACTAAACAGCAGAAAAAACAAACAGAAACAAACAGACAAAATAGGAATAACAATTGCAATGGATATGCAATATCCGTCATTATAATTATTCTAATTTAATTTTTAAATTTAAACTTTAATATTTAATTATTTAATTAATGCCATTGTATGTGGAACTCAAATGTCTAAGGTACGTTATAAAATTCTGCTACTGTGTAATATGGTCTTTCTAGAAGAAAAGCTTTAGCCAGTCTTCGGAACTTATCGTATGTATTTATAGATTTTAATTGCATCGGATGGTTATTATACAATTTTTTGGCATTGTAGGTAATGGAATGTTTTAATAGGTCAAAAGTGGGCATTGTTAAATAAACATCAGTCTCTAAATTTCTTGTAGGATATCTACGAGTCTGTCTTTCGGATAAATTTTGAATGTGCTTGCGAACTAAGCAGACGGATTCGAAAATAAATAGAGCAGGAAGGGTTAGAATTTTGAAATTTTTGAAGTAATTTTCGCAATGTGTCCTACTACTTAAACCAAATACATAGCGGATTGCTCTTTTTTGCAGTTTAAAAATAGATTCGAAAAGGTATAAGCTACAAGAAACCCAGAAAGGTAAACCATAGCGAAGGTGAGATTCGAATAAGGAAAAGTAGGTTATTAATGCAGTAGAAGGAGTCAGCTCTTTAGAAACCGATTTAATGGCAAAACATGCGGAGGATAATTTTTTTGCTAAGGTATCTATATGAGCAGACCATTTTAGAGAATCGTCTATATAAAGACCTAAAAACTTGATTGAAGTCACCGTTTGGATCAGATTATTGTTTAAAGTTATAGGTTGTAAAGTACCTCTGTAAGACAATGCTACAGTTTTACTGGTGTTGAAACAAAGTCCATTCGAATCAGACCAGGACTTAATAGTCACTAGATCTTCACTTATGATAGATTGTAATGTCTGCATGTTAGAATTATTCCAGGTTACACTGGTGTCATCAGCAAATAAAGTAATTCTACCACTTATTCTTAAGTCTGTGATGTCGTTGATGAATAATAAAAACAAAATTGGACCTAATACTGATCCTTGAGGTACTCCACTGCTTATTGCTAGATTTGTAGAATCCTCACCATTCGCCCGCACCTGTTGATTTCTATTTTCTAGGTAAGTTTTAAACCATTGTAAAGGAGAACCCCGTATGCCATAAATTTGTAACTTATTAATTAAAATATCATGATTTACACAATCGAAGGCCTTTGCGAAGTCACAAAATACTGAAGCGGTGAAAAGTTTATCATTAAGTGATGTGTATATTTCATTAAGAACGGAAAACATTGCGTCGCTAGTGCATTTTTTAGGTAGAAAGCCATACTGATGAGCTGTGAGGATGTTATGCTTGAAAAGAAAGGGCAAAAGACGGTTTTTCATTAGCCGTTCTACTATCTTCGATAAGGTAGGCAATAACGCGATAGGTCTATAGTTACAGGTTTTGGTTTTGTCGCCACCTTTATGAAGTGGGATTATTATAACTGTTTTTAGACAGTTAGGAAAGAGACCAATTTCAAAGGATTCATTAATCAGTGAAGTTAAAATGTTGATTACTACATCCGGTATATTTAGAAATATTTTGGTGGACAGGCCATCAATTCCACAGGAAAATTTATTTTGGATGTTGTTTATGGTTTGCACTAGTTCATGCTTGTCTACTGGTCTTAGGAAGAAACTTTCAGTGATCCTTTTAGTAGGTAGGAGGAAGGAGAGAGCATCCTGACTCGGAGCTATGTTAGATTTGATATTTTTACTTACATTTACGAAATAATTGTTTAGTTCATCTGGGCTAGGATTTACACTGTTTGAAGAACGGGTTTTATTCCTTAAGTCATTTATAGATTTAAATATAAATATTAACATAGATACATACTATTGTAGATATTAATATAGTTTGATAAGATATTAATAAAGTTATAAATATAGATAGTATTACATATATTATTAGAGATAATGGTAGAGATATTAATGGAGGTTTTTATAGAAATATTAATAGAGATATTAATACAGATATTAGTAGATATATTAATAGGGATTATTATATTAATAAAAATACTAATAGATGCTAATAGAAATACTAATAGAGATGATACTAATAGAGATACTAAATAGAGATACTAAATAGAGATACTAAATAGAGATACTAATAGAAATACTAAAACTCTAAATTTAATATTTTTAAATCATACAATTTGCTTGGAAATTCATAATCATTTAAAAACAAAAATAAAAGTATCGTCATTCGTTGATTTTAACTAATACTTTTGTTTTTCATTCATACAAAACACATTTTATTACCAAAGATAACTGAATCCTCGAACGTTTGTTTTTTATCGAAATGTTACCTTTCGCTTTCCATTATAGAGACGTATTTTTAGAAAGGGTTTCGACAATATCATTAAAGAAAAGTAATTTTTCACGTGATATTGGCGAAGTTTCCAACTTTAGCTTGATTTAGTGCATTATAAAAAAGTATTGTTTGGACTTCAAGAAAGTATAGACAAATCGACTATTCCATCGGAATCTATTAATAACATTCGATTTTCATCCTCCAGACTTTCGTCTACACTGGAAAAAATATGTTCTTGAATATTACAGGTGTACTTTATAAAAAAATACGACAGAATATTCTGATGGGTTCGAGCTGCGCCTTCGCCAAAAGTTGCAATTTTTTAAAGTATCCATCAAATTATAAAAAATTATCATAAGGCGGACGGCTGAACTTTGATAAAGTAAACATAGATCAAGACTAAACAGTATAGAAAGCCGATTCCATATATCAAAAATGAAACCATAAGGAGAAAATAGTGTGTCGGAGCTCATGCGTATAATGGTGCTGGCGCGAACAGGACCGGTGCAAGTTTTTTATTGATCGAACAAATTGTTCGCACGATATTTCAATCATACATTTTTAGAGATGATTCTATACAAAAAACGATTAAAAAAATTTCAAGTTAAGGTAAATATGGTTCT